GTAATCAATCATAAAAATAGAAGTTATTTCTTTAAAAAGAAATGTATATAACTAGATTGTTCCTGGGACATTTTTAAGAAGGAATGCAAAAACAAAAATTAATATAGTAGCCCATGACTGAATGAAACAAATATTAGCACATATACTGAATGTGATATAAAATCTAACAGCAAAGAGAGCAATAAAAGGAAGGAAACAAGCCAAATAATATATCCCTTTCTTTAGGTAAAGTTGTCTTTCTTTCCTTTATTTTTGTTTTTTAAAAAAGACATGCCATGGAGACCTGTGTACTTTAAATTATTTAGCCAGTCAAGAGAATTAAACCATCTATAAGGAGAGAGTTTAAGAAAAAGAAGAATGTTCATCATAAAATCTGAGTTTGTAAACTACATCTAACACATAAGTAGACTCCCATTTAGGAAGACAATCTGTTAAGTAGTTGAGAACTCAGAATACTTTTTTTTTTTGATAGAAACATAATGATAAGGCATAAAGGTCAGTACACAAAATCCACTTAATCCTAATGTACATGAAGCATAGAACATACTGAAACCTAATCACCATGCAGATCACAGTTTCTATGGGGAAAATGATTTTAGAATTGTGTATTAAAGGCCAGAAATCCATCTCCTCTGGCTACAATGGGATCACATTTGTGTTTCCTACTCTGGCTTTTGTATTAATAGTTAGAAGAAGGACTCTCCCATCACTTACTCTAGTGGCAGCTCCTGCAGTGATTGGCAGGGATCTTTAAACCTTGGTGAAGACAAGGGCATCCTACCAATGTCATCTCACCAGAGACTCCTCTGAGTTCCTGTTTGTTCCCAGGTTGTCCTCTTTCTTTTATCCCAGCAGCCTCCGGGGCTGGCCCTTTGGGGTTTACCATCAGGCTCTCTCTTTCCCCTTGTCCATATAGAACAGAACACATGTCTCTCCACCTTCCTGATATAGAAAGCAAGCCCAGTGCCCTCTGGTTTTTGTTCATTGGTTTATATTTATCTTTAAATGGAGGACAGGGGAAAGAGGGATTAAAATAAGCCCCTTTCCATTTCTCTCCCTACTCCATTTCTGCCCTAACCTAATAGAAAAAGACAGTCACATACATAGAGTCGGGTCTTTGGGTATACAAAGAATAAAGATTCGCTCCTCTCTCAAGAAAACAAAAACCAACTTGAGACGATCCTCAGCATTCTATGAACTGAACTGCTGCAGGCTAGAAAAGAAGGAAGGAGGTGAGAGAAACAATGAATTAGCATCTGGAGAAAGGCATAATGATGTCAAAGGAAAGAAATGTGGCCGAAGGTGCTGTCAAAGTACATGGCCATCCCTGGAGCACCGCAGTGGGAGTGCCCACTGGTTACCATGTTTTCTCCTCTCCAGATTTCTGCTTCCCAGATCAGCGGTGATTAGGTGCAAATGGGAAGGAAGGGGGAAAGCAGCCCTCCAGCGTCTGAGTAGGAGGGATGGGGAGATTACCAGAAGCTACTGAGGGACAAGCAGTTCCTGTGGTCACTCAGACTGCATACTGTGGCGTTGGGGGCCCTTTGTATGTAAGGGTCAGACTGAAGTTATACAGAAAACGTTCCATATGCCTTGACATTATGGCTCCTACCAAGAACCCCTCACTCCTGTTTCACAGAGGACAGTCACTAGCCACAGTGTTATCCTATCCCATGAAGAGCAATAATCTGAATATTCTGCAGAAAGAAAAGGAAGGTAATCCTCAGAATTGACATACACAAAATTATTTTAAACAACTGGTCCTAAATCAAAAATGAAGGAAAAATATAAAGTGAAATGTGCATAAGCATGTCTTTTCCTCCTATTTCATTCTTCTTTTACTCCTCTCCCATGAAGAAAGGGGCAAGGGCCAGATAGAAGATGCCTAATGGAATTGGGCAATGGACTGATCTGGCCATGACCAAGGAACCAGAGCTGAGCTGGAGGAGGTGGTCCGTGACCCTACAAATGCACCTTGACATAGGCCATGCACTAAGGAAATGCATATGCACACTTCCCAGTAATGGATTTCCCAGGAGCTCCAGGGAAATCCCAACTAGTTTGTCACCCTTTCAACTCCTGTTGTGAACCCCTCCCCTCCCATCCTGCCTGTTCCCTAAATAGTTACAGCCCTCAAGGACCATCCTGCCCCACCAACCTAATTGCTCTAAAATTTTCTACCCTTTTTTCTCCTTCTCATTCAAAGCTTCCCTATTTCACAGGGCAGGATTAGGTATTACCCTCAATAGCTGATTACAGCATTTCACACAAAGGAGTCAAAGAGGTTTGATGGAGGATCCATTTAAATGCAAAGGGAGGCTGCTATGCATATCTGAAGTGGCCTTCAGGGATCTCCCCCTGCTCCAGTTCACAAGAGTTCCTCTCTAAGTTTACCTCCAAGACAATGGAAAAATTTCCCTATGCATTTGCCTCCTCAGGCACTCCAAGAGTTTCTGATCCCTCTGAAAAAATAAAAGAAAAATAAAAGAGGGAAGGAAGGGAATCAAGAGAGCAGGAGAAAAACCTTTGTTCTCTCAGTCCTCACAATCCAGCAGAGTGGTATGGCCACTCCCCCTTGCAGCTAAGAGAGGTTAAGTCTCACTATTAGCCACATTATACACACACACACATACATACACCTTATGGATATGCACCAAATACATGTGCAAGGTACAGAATCACACAACTGATTTCACTAAATATGCTTTTTATCAAGTGAATGCTGGCATTTATAAAATGGCATGAATATCTTAAGCTAAATTGCCTTTGAAACTATCAGTGAAGTTCATGGTCTTTGGCAGTACCATTTTTAAAAAACATAACGCCTGGAGCTTCTGGATAGCTGAACACGTGGAGTTTCCTGGAGGGTGATACACCCAGGGAGGGTATGAAAGCTCTGTGTCCCTTTCCCTCATTAAAACCTTTTTTAAGCCTTAAACAACAACAACAACAACAACGACAACAACAAATAATGCCTGAATTACCTATCTAGTCAGCTATTTACAATAAGGTTCCTTTCCATGAATGAGAATGAGACCATTGTCCCATGAAAAAAGAAAAACTTCAAAACCTCAAAGCATCTTATCCCCACTTAAGCTCAATCTCACCCTTCAGCCTATTAATTCCCAAAACTATGTTCTCTTCCAGACTCTACAAAATCAAGACTATTGATTTCTTCAGGAGACATCAAAAATTTAGAGAGCTAAGCTTCTGCCAATTGGCAAAGACAGCTTTCGATCAGCTACCTGAATTATTTTTTGGGGGGGTGGGGCGGGAGCTGAAGGCATCAATATTTCCAAAAGCCATAGTGCCAAGCCAACAGAAAGATTATAGGCATTTTGAATCAAGTTCTCAGACCATAGTCTTCAGCTTTTCTTGAAATCTGCTTATAAAAGAAGGACCAAGTGAAACTTTGATATTTACATCAAGTCACGACTAAGGGGCAGGTTTGCAAAATCAATTGTGCAGCTTTTATACTCACTGCACATTTACCACATATGTCCTTTATTACACAGTGGAAAACCATTAAATGCACAGTAGTTTTGCCAAGTGGCATTATGCATTTAACAGCTTTATTCGTTTAACAGCTCCAACTCTCATTATATTTTGCCATGTGGTACACGGGATTTTACGCATTTAACAGTTTAAGAAGGCTCTATGGTATTTTCTTTTCATGTATTTCATACTATGGTTGGACATCATGTCTTAGCAAACTGTATTTCACTGATTTCATTGATGAGAGAAAGTCAGAGTAATATGAAAAATTACTACAGTGAAATTGAAAAGGGAAACAAACATTTAAATCCTTTTTAAAGTTCTTTGATATTCTACTCTTCTCCTTTCATCAACATCTGAAAATAACCTATGTCAGGTTACAACAAAACTGTAGGTAAAAAGGTCTGAACCCCAAACCATATAATTAATCTAAACATAACATTTAGATTAACATTTAAAATTTTTTTAAGTTTTAAAAACAATTTTTACTGAAAACCTTCTTGATTAATAGAAATACAATACTCATTAACTTCCTTTCTTTATAGCACACAACAGAAAATCTGTTAGGGAGATGATCGACCATTTTACCATTTACATATGGAGGGATGAAAACATTTGTCATGCAAGGCCACAGAGGAAATCAAACTCAGAATCAAAGGACTCTCAAAATTATGCTTTAACTAACTTGCATTCTTCCATACTGCATTAATTGTTCATCCTAGAGATAAATAAGTAAGCACCCCAAACTAACTCAGGATTCTAGGATTGGGCAGAAGTTGTCCCTTTAAATGAATTGAAACAGATAGTAGATCCCATCAACTGTTGCTGCTTTCAGAAATAAAAAAACTAAGCATCTGTTGGCTCTTTTCCCTAGAGCATTACATTCCCCACAATACCGGCAGTCTGAAAAATTTTACTGGATAAACTTCTATGTTTTTCTGTTAAAAGATTTTAGCACTTACTCTGCACTCTCCCACGTGTGTTTTCTCCTGGAAAAACAACTGTATTCTGTACATAAAAGAAACACCTGATATTGAAAGGTGTCTCTGGGGCCGGGGAAAAGTGGTTATTATAACTAAGTCAGCCGTTCCCCTGGTGGGAATAGGAGAGGTGATGAGACCTGGCCTAAAACATGGTCTCAGAAAGGTGCTATAATGTACATTCTAAGTTTTGTTTGGATACCAAAAAAAAAAAAAAAAACCAATAAAACAGAAAGACAAACAAAAGGTATATAGCAGTGTTTAGAATAAGGAGAGAAATCATTCAAGGCTGATTCTTTTTTGAAAAAAATTCTCTGAAAGAAAAAAGCTGGAGTTTTGGCTTAGTCTCTGTTTTGAACTCCAGTGGGAATAAAAGCAAACTATAGAGCAAACGGCAGAACATGACAGGTTCCCTGGGGAATATTATTGTTATTATTATTGTAGGAACAGATGTATTTTTATTGGTGAGAGGAGGAGAAGGGTCTAATTCCAGCCCTCGATTTTGCTCTTTTAAAAACCACTCACCTGACTTTTATTTGCAGCCACTTTGGCAAACAGGGCTTGAGACACCTTGGCCCTTTTCATCTCCTGTTGGATCTCGTCATAAATGGCAGCTGTGATGTTGACGTTGGCGCCGTCCACCTTAATAGGGAGGTCTGTTGTCGGTGTCGAGGTTTTGGCCTACCAAGAGACCATGAAAATAATAATTTAAAAAGTGCTGCATTCAGCCCAGCCATCTGTGCAGAAATTATCAAAGGATTTCAGTCAGCTGATGCCAAACTGCATTAGCTACAGAGGGACACTTCCTGTCCATTATTCTAATCAGGTTAATTGTGATTGGAAATAATTGCAGTTCATTCCTATAGGACACGCAGAATCCTGTCAAACCTGTTCCCTCACAGTGTCCTGGATGGTTCACAGGTAGGATGGCTATCCTGGACACCAAACTATAAGCAATCATCTAACTGCAAAACGAACATGCAGAACACACACACAGTTACCTTTTTCTTTCTAAAAATGGCACACCTTGGAGGAAGAACCAATTCTTCCAGAAAAAATGAGTAAATGGGTAGAGGTCTCTAAATAATAAATTATTACTCAATTTAATGCACTCCCCTGAGTCTCTCTCATTCTTTATTAAAGCTGTATGTATGTCATTTGAGTATGTATGGTTTCCCATCATTATCATCATTATGCTACCCAGACAGTCACCTAATTTCACCTAGGAAATCAGTGGAAATGAAACAAAATTTCATTTCATAAAACTAGGCTTCAGAATGCCTTTGATGTGCCGTTTTCATTTTCTTAAACTCATATTGTGGTTTTATGTATTCTGCCGTGCTCGTTTTAATTGAATGATTTCCCATCAGCTTCAGAGACAAATGAAGGACAATATAGAAGGTGTCTGTACTTCTTGGGGTTAGGATAACCCTAAAACATTTGAATCTACTTGATCGAAAAGATGGTCAGAACATTTGCTTGGTCTGGGTCCTAAAATGCTTTGTCGGTGTCTAATGGGAGGAGGCTGAGCCTCTTTCTTAGAACTGCTGGCAGCAGGGCTCTAGGAAACAACAGCCCCATCCTTGGGTGCTGCTGGCTGAAACTGGATTTTTTCTTTTCATACCCATCCACCCTAGAATCTCAAACCCAAGAAGTTGTCCCCAAATCACAAATTTCCCCGTGTGGATTCCTGACCTGTTCTCCACTGTATCCAACAATGCACAGATCTGAAGAAAGGCATAAGACACAATTTGGACATTGTGGGATCAACGGTGTCTGAAGGCCAAACTTAAGGTCCCAAATTTCCATGAAGGCCTTGCTTCCTAAGACTGCTCAGTGACTTTTGCCATTCTCCCTCGACCTCCCTCTCTCATACTATTTTGTAATTACTACAAAGTAATAATAAGTGTGATTTATGGGGTACTTTTTATGGGTCAGGCACTCTAGAAACCATTTTAACTTTTTAAATTCTTTTAGGAATCCAATGAATTAGACATTATTGTTTTTGTTTTACAAACGAAGAAACTGAAATAAAAAAGGATCTTAACCTGCTGGAAGAACATGCAGTAGCAAGTGAAGTAACCATGATCTGAACTCAAGTCTTTTAGGCTCCAAAGCATGGACTCAGGATCACGGCACATCACTATCTCCAAGATCTCCCTTTTACTCCGGGTGCTGTTTATACAGGAATCCTCCTCTCTGCTAGCTTGGGACCTCCCCATAATGATCCAATTCTCTGTAATTCTTTTCAAGAAACTCCTTTTTCTTCTCAAAGTTTAGTTAACCCACAGTGCTTTCCCTGTCAAGTGACTGTTTTAGCATAATATTCCTGCCTTTCTCAACTCAGTTTTCTTCATTAGCCTCCGTGACTACCTCATCTTACCGGACTGGTCAAATCTTCTCCAGAACCCTGAGGGCCAAACTGAAACTGCTCAAGGAACTACAATATATAGTTGAGACTTCGGTTCTGAAATCAGAATAACTAGAGTTCAAATCCTAGCTCTACCATTCAGTCATGTTAAATAACTTTAAACTTAATACAAATTATTAAACCTATTTAAGCCTCAGTTTCTCAACTGTAAAATGCAGATAATACCACAAAATGGTGATGGCTGAATTCATGTAAAATGCTCACAATACCTGACACACAGTGAGGCCTTTAACAAATGATCATTCTTATCCTGGTATTGTTGCTTTGTTATCATTAAGCATGCCAAGAAATACTGGCCAACTGCAGAATTATGAGACGAGATTCTGGAGGTTTAATCTCAAATTTGAAATTTCTTCAGTTTGTTTTTTAGCCACTGATGCCGAAGTGCCAATGAGTCTGGAAAATAACCCCCCTGCATCTGTGTAGACTGCCTGGGTGCAATGAAATTGCTGACTTCAACTAAAAGGTAAGTAGGTAATCATGAAATGGTTAAAAAACTTTAATAACTTCCCCTTTCTCAATCTTTACCCAAGAGAAAAAGAAGACAATTCCAGAGAATTTAAAAATGCAATGTCATGACTCTATTTTAAAAAATGTGTTTAAACATTTCATACTTATTTTCAAAAATCTCAAAACTGTGAAAATAAATGATCAATTTCCCTGTTATACTTATCCTTAAAGGGCACCTTTATCTATAAATTTTCCAGATGGGATTCTATTCAAAATAACTGAAATATTGACCGTAAGGCCTTATAAGTTGGTCTGACTCTGAAAGCTGCAACATCTTTGAAAAGGTGCCTAAGATATAATCTTGTTAGAAAAATACTACAAAGGAAATAAAAACAAAACACATGGACCTGTGTTATTTTCTAACAAGTAGAAGTGACTTTCTGAGAAGACCTGCCTGGTTAAACGGCCAAGAAGCATGGCTGGGCTCTCTTATAATGGTTTAATGGGCTTCGAAAGTGGCAAAAATACTGGGGAATTTAATAGAAGTAAATATTAGTGCAAATTAACAACTTGCCCTACTTGCTTAATTTGTATGCCCCCAAATTTTTCTAAAAATAAAAAGGCTTGGTTACACTTATCCAAAGTAAGCAGTCAAGAGACCTAGTTTTGGTTTAACAGCAACTAAAACTCATAATTCACTAAAGACTAAAGTCTAAGTAACACAATTTGGCAGTGCATGATAGACAGTGATCTTCAATTAAAAATTTACTGCAGAATGCAAAAATATAAAAAGAGTTAAAATGTGTGAAAAAAATGGATGTGCTTAGAAAAGCTAAAATATTCCTATTAGGATAAAATTCTGCTTCTATGTTTAATCAGTTCCTTGGGATTTATCAGAAAACAAACTTATAAACCCAAAGCTACAGTATCTAAGCAAAACAGCCTTTGGTCTTGAAGTACCCTGTTTTCAGATTTGTACAAATGTGTGCCTGTTAAATACTGGTTTTGAGAACTACCATTCAGATGGAACTTGCAACCATCCTAGCAACATTGAATGAGATGGCTTTATCATAATGCTACCGAGTAGTAAAAGTTTCGGGGAAATAGGGAGTAGGCTCAGATCTGAATTGGAAATGACCCCTGACTGCCTGAGACCCTGACCCTTCAGTTTGGGGCTTGGAAGCACATAGCATTACTAGATGTATACATTTGCAGGAGAACCTAAGAACACAATTCTTTTAAAGTGTGTAGAGAAGAAGGATGGAAGTCACCAAATCCTGTGGGGAGATCACCCTAGAAAGGAAAATAATTAAGGCCTAGCTTTCCACTATCGTTTTCTAAGGGATCATTGAGCAATATCTCTCACTCATTCTGATCTAGCCACTGCACGTATATGCGTCTACTACATGCAAGTTTCCCCTCATTTTGTCTTTTGCAGATTGCATAAAGCAGAGTTTAGACTACTTTCTGTCCCCTGCCCCCAACCACTCTCCATCCCATCCAAACAAACATACAATTTCAGGAAGGGCAGTGTGCTTGCTATGCAAACTCAGCTTCAACGCAAAACCCCAACCCCTTCTTTGATAACTGAGGCATTCTAGAGCCTACCCCTGCACTTACTCCTGCTTACCCATCCCTCACCTGCCACGTAGGGAAGAAGGGACTTCCCTAAAGGGACAGAAACGGATATGAGACAGTAGGGGAATTACACTATTATGTGCTCAGAGGGTCACATCCTTTGACCCGCATGCTCGGTGGATTAAGAAATTCTTGAATTATGCCTCTTAGTTTGTAAGAACAAACACAGTATGAGTGAAGGGAAGATGTTTCCAAGGCAAAGATCGAAAAGTCACTGGAGAAAGTCTCTCACCTGAGGGGTTCTGGAGGAGCTGGGACTGCTGGAGGCCGAGGAGACCATGCTCACATTGGGGTTCATGCTCCGTTCCCTCTCATCCTGGTAGATGCGATCCCTCTCCACCTCCGGCAGATTGAGGAAATTCTGCATGGCCCTCAGGTTTACCAAAAGAGACTGAGAGGCTGTCCGAGGGTCTTCTTCCTTACGCAGGATCTCAGACAACAATCCCTGATTAAATGGAAAAAAAAATAGGTCAAGTCACATCTGTAGGTATGTGTGTGTGGTTTCCATCTTCTGCCCTCTCCCCCTTTTTTGCTTGGTGTAACCAGCTGGCTGTGATGTCAAGAACCTCAGGCTAATTCCTCAGGGTTCTCCTGCATGAAGATTTTGTGGGAAGGTGCTTGTCTTCTGGGGGCTGTGCCTTATTTTAGGACCGTTCTATTCTGACACATTATCATTACCGTAATAATCATCGGTGTACAGACATGCCAGCTAGCAAGGTAGGCACCCGGGAAGAATTGTGAAACTGCAATTACCACCAGGTGCCTCCTACAAGTATTTCAGGAACTGTTAGAACTCTCTCTGCTTGAAACTGGGAACACTTGGCAGTCCTGCTTAACTTTACAAATCTGCCAAGTTTGGTAAATTTAGTTTCGACATTTAAACAGCATGGGAGATTTACATCGATTTAAAAAAAAAAAAAGTTTGGCTGAATTTCTGTGTGACCGGCCACTGTTTTCAATATAGATGTTTCTTATGAAAAAAAAAAAGACACAAAGCAAATGGCTATAATTTGTGTTAACCCTCTGATTACTTCCCAATCTACACAAATGACAGTTATTCTTGCATATGTACCAGAGGGGACCCAAAACTTTTTATGAGATGCCCTCAAGGGGGAAGCTCTAATCTCACCATTAAAGCAATGAAAATGTAGTCACATCCAATGAGGGGCCGAAAACACCACGACAATAGAATGCATAGGATGTTGTGATAGGCTCGGACACTTTCTGAATGTGTGACTCATTCAAATAGAAAGATTTAAACAGGAAATTAGTGTTTTCATGTACTCTAATGACAGAAAATTCACAAAGAAAAGGAAAATGTTGCCAAGTCTAGAGAAAAGTAGTATGGACTCATGAAAAGGCTGGAGCTCTAAGATGGGACATTGTAGCACTGGGGGCAGATGCAGATCTGTTTCCATTCTGCACACTTGTTGGATTATCACACAGAGGCATCACTTTGTATTTCCAGCTAATATCCTTCTCAGGGCAGTATAAGATCAGGGTTTAGGATTATCCGTCAGGAAGTGCTGAGATGTTAATCCTGTATCTTAGAACAGATGGAGCGACCCAAAATCATGAAAAGTCACTTCTATGAACTGTAGTAAAGTGGTACAGATGCCAAAGACATTTCCACTGAGATGAAAATTAATGCAAAGAAAACACTATCAGATTTCTAATATATGGCTTAAAAATGAAAAG